GCGGAGACAAAAGATCTGTCTTGATCTGTAAAGTCATTCAAGGGCACAATCTCCTGAGAAGAGGGTGAGGTTCAGCGGCCTTTGGGGTTGGGAGAAGGTAACAAGTCAAAAACCAGATCGGAGCCCCCAACAAGCTAGTGATGAAACTTTAATGAATGGGGAAGGGTGCCCTCCGCACAGTTTGTAGGAGTCACTAAAGCAATTAGCTCTGCAAAACACAGCAGGTGCGTATGGGATGCCCGGCCACGCCCACGGGATGCGGGGTAGAGCCAAGGCAGGGCTGGGAGGGTGGAGGCTGGGCCAGGATTGGACAAGGTCAAGGCTGCTGTGGGGTCTTTTGGGGCATGCCACCCCAGCATGTCTGCTGGGTGCGGCCCTGCTTCAATGAGCAGGTGAAGGTGTCGGAGGGTGTCATGGTCCACTGACACTGAGCACCTTTCAAGAGTCCCCTTTCATTCCCTTGAGGGCTGACCGGCCTCACAGAAGCTGGGGTCATTAGTGGCTGCAACGGACAGAAACACAGAAACGGTATTTGATATTCAGGCAGCCTTCCCCACCTCCTGCAGCCTTCCCCTCCTCCCGCAGCCTCCAAGGGTGCCTTCCCTCCGGCCCTATAATGATTTGACATCTAAACGCTGAGCACAAGGAAGGGGAAGCAAAAGAAACTGCTCCTGGCTGTTTCCTTTGCCAGAAAGTGTAATTGGCACGCTGTGTGGGAAGTGCACGAGACCACCCCCTCCAGGCTCCCTGACCCCCCAGTGCTCCCCAGAAGATGAGAGCAGGGCCTGGCAGCTGCAAGCCTCACTCCTCAGCCCGGCTGGCTGCCTCACACCCCAGACATCCTTGGCACCCAGTGACAGATGAGCAGATACGAGGCATCCTAGCCCCCAGCTAGTGCCTGTGCTCCTACGAGCACACGAGGCTGGCCAAGCTGAGTCCTGTCCCCGCTACACCTTCTCCAGGCCCCAGAGGAGCTCAGAGCTCAGGGTTCTGGAGAAGCAGCAGCCGGTTTCTCTGGAAAGGATGTCAGGAGATTTGCAAACAAGACAAAACCCACCCCTAGCAGCCTGCAGGAAAATGTGCTCAAAGCCTCACCAGGAAGTGTAGTTGACCCCTTCTAGTTTTCTTTTCCCTCCCTGCTTCTTTCCTTTCTCCCTTCCTCCCTCCTTTCCGTCTCTCCTTCATCCCTCCCTCCCTCCCTTCCTTACTCCTCTTCCCTTTTCTCTCTCTTCTTCCTTCAACTTCTAACTATTTGATACAACTTTTAGAGGTCATTTATAATCTACCAACATTGAAATCACACATGTCCTTGAACTCAGCAGTTCCGTGCTGGCGCTGTCCCTCTTGCTCCTGCTGGTGGGCACCGGGACAATTGTGCGCAAGGACCCTACATGCCACTGTGATGAGAGACCCACAGGACTGGTAGGAGGGGATGGGGCAAGTCCATGACAGCGCCTCCGAGCAAGAGAAGGCTGAACAGCTGTTGGAGAGAAGGGGGCCGAGCTCTCTAGCCGCAGGGTAAGCTCTCCAAACACATGAGGTCACAGAGGAAAGGCCTGAGTATGAATACTATGTTACTCCTCGGGTAAAAATAAAAAAAGTGGGGGTGGGAAAGGGATTAAGCAGCATGGCAGTGTTTTCTTTCTTAAAAATAGATCTGAAATAAATATTGTAAACTGTCAGCACGTGTCAAATCTGGGCAGTGAGTTCAGTTACTATTACCATTTTCTGTTTCAAACCTTGTTTGAAATATTTACTAAAATAACAAAACGGGGGGGGCGGTGGAGAGAGGGATGGGTGGGACACAGAGGATTTTTAGGGCAGTGAAAATACTCTGTATGATATTATAACGACAGATACATCATGGCCTATTTGTGCAAACCCACAGAATGCCCAACACCAAGAGTGAACCCCGAGGCAAACTATGGACTCTGGGTCATTACTGAGGGTCTACATAGGTTCATCCTTGGTTTAAAAAAAAAAAAAAAAAAGTACGATTCTGGTGAGACATGTTGATGATGCAGGAGGCTGTGACCGCGTAGGGTAGAGTATGTGGGAAATCTGTATCTTTCCCTCGATTTTCTCCAAAACCCAAAGCTCCTCTGAAACAAATAGAGGTTTTTCAAAGAATTAACAAAATTTAAACATAGAGGTGTCTTACAGAAATGCATTTATTCTTGTAAGTAACGGCAGCTAACATTTTCGTGGTGCTCCTCCCGGCCAGGCCTGTGATAACTCAGTGAATTTTCGCGACAACCCCGTGGGGTAGGTCTCTTAAGATACCCCTCGACAGAGGGGAAAGAGAGGCTTGAGGAGTACCGTGTACCGCTTGAAGCACAGAGCACTGAGGACGTCAGAATTTGAAGCCAGGCAGCCTGGCCCCAGCCTCTGGGCTCACAACCCCCAAGCCTCACTGAATGGCCCAGGAGGGGCCCGGGAAGGTTGGAGTCAGGGATTCTGGAAGGAAGTGTACTTTCTACCGCACATCCATTCTGTACTACTTGAATCTTTAACGTAGGCACAGGTCACGATTTTTCAAAACTGGTATTTTAAATAAATCCCTAAGGAATTAATTTAAGTTCCTAAGGAGAAACTGAATCCTGGAGGGCGAGAGGCTTTGAGAGATGGCGTCGAACCCCCTTTCAAAGGCTGAGGGAACGCTCTAAAGCCGCCACCGCTGGGAGACTCCCTGTAGGGACCCAATCCCTGGTTCCTTTCCGCCTTGTAGCAATTCTAGCCCCGCACTCTTCCTTCCCTTCCCGCAGACTCCGCCCCCTTGCCCTGGGTTGGACGCGTGACTTCAGGTGGGCCCCAGTGATTGGCCCAGGAGTGGGTACCAGAATCCTGCCCTGGACTACCCCTCGCAGAAGATCCTTTTCCATCTGGTTGTGGGTCTCAGAGGGCCCGCAGCCCCCACAGCGTGACAAAGCACTTCGAGGTAGACGTATAAACCCAGAGAGGGAGGGGCAGGGCCGGGCCCTCTCCGCTTCATCCCACCCCAGCTCCTGGCCTCTGGAGGCGGCTCCCTCCCTCCCATCAGTTTGAGCCGGATGCTACGGATAGAAGCCCACATAGAAGTCCACAACTCAAAACACGGGAAGCCCTGACCCAGTGGTTAAGCCCTCCAGTGGTTAAGGGGTGCTGGAGAAGACTAGAAACCCAGCTCTGCCACCTGCTGTGTGATCACCAGCGAATGAGTTAACCTCTTCGAGCCCGATGCGCATCCTGAGCTCACTACCAAAAATAACTCCTTTCCAGCCACGTCAAACCCAAATCGGAGGCTCTGGGAGAGATGCCAGCTGGCAGCCCACCAGCAAGGAGGCCAGCAGCTGGTCATTCCTTGTGTCCCTCCACTCGCTCCCTGCCTGGAAAGAGCATCCATGTGGCCCTCAACCGGCACCCTAGCCCTGTGGCTCCCTCTGGCTCCCAGGGGCTTCGACAGGAAGGAGTGGCACCAAGAGATGGATTTCCCTGTAAGGTCCCCCGCAGGCTGGCTGCATCCCTGAGGGACGATGGTTCTTCATGGCTCCTTAGGGTGGCTCTGCCCCACCCCACGGCTCTGCCTGAAGATGACTGCCACCCTCTCTGCTCCCCTGCAGGGGCAGAAGTGGCCCCACACATCGCTGGCCCCGGATTCTGCACTCTTTCTGGAGGCTTTGCCTGTGCTTTGTAAATATCCCCTCAGATTTCCCAGTTGGAGCGTGTGTCAAGTTTTCCATGGGACCCCGACTAGTTGACAGTGGTCCTTTTCCTAGTCTCCCCAGGCTCTCATCAGACCAAGTCATGCTCTGTGGAGGACACTGCTCTGGGGCCCCAACTCTTGCCACTGTCTCCACTGCCTTCCCAGCTTCTGGACTCCAGCAGGCCTCTCCAAATCTGTCAGACCCTGAGCCCAGAAAAAGGACCTGCCAAGGAGAGGCAAGCAACCATTTGCATCTGATGGATAGTTGGCCCACCAAGAGGCACACGGGTGACATCTGGGCTCAGGACATGTCTAGAGAAGCAAGCCACTGATTTCTGCACACCGGAAAATTTACCTGAGAGTGTATATTTATAGAAAGATACATGGAAACGGACAGATAGTGCCCAGCTATAGATACAGGAAGCTCGGTTAGAGAAGCATGTAGGTAGGTATGTATATATTTGCCAACGGTAGAGAACATGAGGTTTCCACATCTTCCGCCATGACCGACAACACACAAACGCCCGATCTGGGAAAACCACGCTTGTTTTTGTGGTTGGGTTCCCTCTCCAGAGGTTTCCAAAATGAGAAGGCTGGTTGCAGGGGCAGTCTTTAAATATGTGTGTGTGTATCTTTCAAAAAAAGAGAGAACAAGGGAAGGGAGGAGGAGAAGCGTGTTTCCACGTGGTACGTGGCAGAAAAGATGGGACTGGTTTTGGGCGAGGACGTGATCCCACTGGAGAGGCATGAAAGGGAACTCCAGAAAGGACAGCTAGGGTTTCTAGGTTGGGACATAAAAACACAACAGCCAGGAAGGTCACGCGTCTGCGGTCCGCTGAAATCCCTTGTAGCACATTACAATCAGTTAAGGGCCAAAGAAAAACAGAATAATACTAAGAGGTAGCAGCTGTTTATCTTCTCGGAGATTTCGAGGGTCTCTGGAAGCGGGCCAGGTAAGGGTGTTCTCCTGGAAGAGACTGGGGTAGGGCACAGTTCTTCCCCCAGAGCCGGGAAGAGGATGGGCCAGCCCTGCATGGAAGCGCCGCTCTGGAGCCCCAGAGAGCCTCCACCCCCAACAGGCCACTTGCAAACCCAGAGTCATTTTCTTGGATAAGTTATGCAGTCCTCACAACATATAAATAAAAGTTTAGTTCTGTGTTTCCATATATCTTCTACATGGAGGCTAGCTGAATATTAGTGGAGTAACAATAATTATTAATAACAATAATCATCATAATAACAATAATTAATAGAATAATAATGCCTTGGGGAGAGCCTGGGGGGGGGTCCTTCATATGGCCGGGGTGGGGGCTTCTGGGGAGGGGTCTATGTCTGGTAAAAGTGGTGGTAATGGTGATGGTGTTCGTGGTGGTGGTGATGTTCGTGTCTCTGGACCGCCTGGCCGGCTGGGCTCTCATACACCACCACGGCGGGCAGGTCCCTCGCACGGTCCCGCCCCAAGACACTGCCGCCCACGGCCAGGGGCGCCTGCAGACCCCGGCAGGCCGGCTGGCTCTCCTTGGCTCGGTGCTTGTGCTTCTTGTGCCCGAGGGGTGCCAGCGTGGGGAGGAGGGACGGGCTGGCGGCCAGGTGGGTGGCTGGGGACACCGCAGGGACGGTGGGGCCCAGAGGGGCTTTGCTTCGCCCCCCTCTGGCCACATGGCCCACACCCACGCTCTTGCCCTGGGCCTTGGGGGACCTCACAAAGTGCTTGCTCCCGTCCTGGGCACCCCGAAGCCGCTGCTGGACCTCCGAGGCCTTGGCGAATGGGGTGTCAAGGAAGTGGAAGGAGCCCGGGTCCGCGCCTTGGGGCTTTCGGTGTGGGACGTGGATGGCTTCTGGCTCATGGGAGCGAGACCGAGTGGGGTTGGAGGTGCGGGGGGGCAGCTCTGACTTCTGGGCCACTGTTGGGGAGCCTAGGAACCAATTTAACAGATATTTCATGAGCACCTACTGTGTGCTGGGGCTGCTCTGTGCCCCAGAAACCCCCTGTGCCCCCCATGCTCCAGGACTGGTAACTGTTCTGAGAGCTCCCCTCCCTACCCTGACCACTCCTCACTCTCTCTGGAATGGAAATTGGTTGTCTGCGAATGGGGGAAGCTCTGTTTCTTTGTTAGGTCCTTAAAAATAAGTAACTCCCCTTCCGAGAGAGAAGAGAAAGAGACACTAGTCACTGTCTGAGGTCATGGGAACAGAAATCTACAGGCATATTCCTTAACTTACGATGGTAACTAACACAGGAATTACATGTAGAAGGAGGAAGGGGAGAAGGGAGTTGAGGGGTGTGAAATTAAGTGAGCTATCATTTATCTTCATTTATCTCAGCAGGGGGCGAACAGATATCAACAGCTGAGGAAGACAGAATGGCATTTTGCTGATGGAAAAGGGAAGCGGGGTCGGGGGCGGGGGTGGGGGAGTGACTGGGGTGGGGCACAGAGCAATGGTTTTCATTGCATGAGAGGCCCTGAGATACCATTTGATTTTGTTCAACTTGGGGCATGTACTCATTTTTAAAACGGTTTTAATGTCATCTCCTCCAAGGAGACTCTTTAACCCATCCAGTAAAACCTGCACTTCCCCCACCCCAGGGGGGTATAATGAACACCACCCCACATGGACAGCCCAGCCCTCCCCTTGCCCCGCCTCTCGGGTGCACAAGCTCCCTTACCGGGCCCAAACTGGGACGTGTAGTTCTCTATCCCGGCGAGATCTAAGTAGTGGTTTCTCCTCTCAATGTTCTCATCCACGCAGTGGTGGTAGCAGCCAGACTGCTCCAGACGGCTGTCACCCTGGAACCTAGGGTAAGAAGGCCAGTGAGGGGGTGGGCACCGGCCCTAGCTGGGGGATAGCCCCCCAGTCTCCTGGGAAGCCACCAGGACAATTCCTTCTGGACCCTTCGTTCATCTCCTTCTGGGTCTTGGGAAGGGGCAGGAAGGGGAGGGAGTGGTCATCTTAGCCATCAGTGCCTCTAGTTCCTTCCCTGATAGCAGAAATGCAGACCTCTGCTGGCTGCCCTGGGCCTTCTGGGAGGACGGGAGAGGTCCTTGAACAGGTCCAAAGTAACCGTCAGAGGTACCTGGTCAAAACTTACAGAAGCCCCAAAGTCAGGCTTCAAACCATGTGCGCCCGTAGCAAACGGGAGACCTCACCCCTGGGCTCGTTCCCAGCAATGGGGGCAGCAGAAGTTGCCCACTGGAGCTGAGGGTGGCAGGCTCTGTAAGCCAAGAATGGAGTGTGCGTCAGGAGGGGGTGGGGAGAGTGGTGCCCCCAGAGGCCACCTTTCTCCATCTGTGGGAGTCCGGGCTTCCTGCCTCTCCCCTGCAAGGCTCTCTGAGCTGCCAGCCCCACCCCTCTCATCCTCCCCATTCCCCAACACAGCTAGCCTATGCACCCCTCCCCACACCAAGCTGTGGCCCGTGCAGAGACTGCCTTCTGTTCTTTCCCTATGGGCGGGTGCCTGCCACAATCCGGTCCCTTCCGGTCACTTCCTTTCCATTCCTCTGGCAGGTTCTGCCATCCCGCCCCTGACTTCCGGCCAAGGATGCTTCCTACATCCTCACGCCTCCTACTTTATATTCCTGTTTACTCAAAGCCTTTCTTTAAACACACTCTCTTTTTCGCTTCCCTCCCTCCAGTTAAAGAAATAACAGGTGGGAGAGAATCACAGCCTACCATCCCTTAGCCACCATTCTGAAACCCAAAAAGCCTGAAGGCAAAGATTTTTCATAACCTTTTTGGCAGCCAGGCCTGCCCAAAATGGGTGTGACAGTAGCTGTAGCCTTGATACCACCTGGAGTGGACATTCACACGTGTCGTGTGGACATTCACACGTGTCCGTCAGACATTTCAGTGTGCAAAATCGCGGAGTACTGCCCGGATGCCAAACAGAATAGAGGAGAGATGTGCTGGGAATCTCTCTTCTAAAACCCAGCGAATGCTGAATTCCAAAACATGCCTGGCCCAAAGCATTCTGGACGAGGGAATGCAGAACTACATTTAGTCCTTTTTTACAAACGGAGTTTGCTTTGTGAGCTTGTCTTCGGAAATCACCGCCCCCTGAAGCGAACACAGACTGGAGCCGCCTGCTCAAAATCCCTTGGTGGTGGTGGGGGGGGGACACAGCCGGTGCTCAATATGTGCTCAAGGGCCCCGGGCTGTCGTCCACTCCCATCCCCACACACAGAGCCACTGTACCTGAGGGGGGCTCGCTGCTTCTTCTCCCAGCTGCGCAGCTCCTCGGCAGGCTTGGTCTCCGCTCTGGGCCTCGTGCTCTGCAGGTCTGAGTCCCGCCCGAGAAACAGCCAGGTGAGCAGCAGACGCCTGTGCCCACCAGATTCCTGGCTCTGTGGAGGTTTTCTAAGCTCCCCCACCACCATGAAGCCTTTGACAACTGACCCACAGCCGCTCACCATGGCTCTGTGGGAAGGGTTCTCCAAGCCAAGACCACACAGAGGGGTCTCACAGCTACCTGGCCACTGACCTTCTCCCCCCAGACTCCTCAAGCCCGGGCTCTGCCTACATAGGGCCTCCCACCTGTAATTCCTTTCTTATCCAAATCCTGCTCTTTCAGGGACCTGTTCAAATTCCATCTGTCCACAAAGTCGCCCCCAGGGAAAGCCCCCCGGGACTCCCTTCCACTCCTCCCAGGTCAGTGGGGTGTGATCCTTTCTGGGAGCTGGGAGTGGACTGGCCCCTGTGGTCTGGGCAGCCCCCCAGCCCCTCACCGGGGTGATTGAGAAGGATGCCCTTCTTGGCCTGGCTTCCGTCGGGGGCCACTGTGAGCTTCACCCGCAGCGTCTTGCTTGATGTCGGTGAATGGTTGACGGAGGAGTCGACCACCTCGTAGATGGTGTGCAGTAGGCTGGTGATGTCCTGCAGGGAGGGAAGCAGAAATTCCCCCCCACTTCAGCCACGTACGCCCACAGCCCTGGGACTCAGAGGGCCCGGTGACACCTGAGGAAGGGAAAGCCACTGGCTCCCCCAAAGTCAAGCCTAAGGCAGAATCGTGCACATGAGGGGTTTACTTGGGAAGGGATCCTAGGACACAGGGAGCAGGAGATGATGTGGATAAGCAGATCTGGCCACAGGCAACTGGGCTCAGTCACGCTTGGGTCCTTAGAGGGACGGTGAGCAACCCACCTCAGAAAAGTCTCATCCCTCCTTGGTGGAGTTACCCTGGGGGGCTGACGCTCCATGGCTGGGAATTCTGGTATGTCCTGCAAAGGCTGAGCCCGCTCCCACGGGGAAAGGCTCTTGTGGTGGGCACCGCCCACCCCAGCAGTCAGTGTGAACTGAGGTAGGTCAGGGAGGCTGCTGGGGAGAGGGACACCAAGAGCGCCTGCTTGGGGTCTGATGAGCTCCTTCTGAATGAAAAAGGGAAAGGAGATGTGTTGCTGAAGATCAACTATTCTGTGAGAACTTGACCCAATCTCGTCCTCTCTCGGGGCCTTAGTTAAGCCCCTCAGCCGGACGGAGACATCCAAATGCACGCTCCGTGAAGCATTTCAGAGACTTCTGACTGAGGAACAGGAATCATATAGCGTCTCCCTTTGTTCTGGGCATCTGCTAGGATCGTTTTTCAGAAGGGGAGGCGTCCAGCTTTAAAGGATGTAGAAGCCTCTGGAAAGGTATTTGCTCTCTATAAGTTGGGCCCACAGATGGCTAATTATCTGGCCTGTCGCTCTTCATAAACAGACAGACTCAGCTGTCCCTCACCCGATTTCCCCACCTGGAAGCTGTCCAGACAGAGGTGGCAGAGGGGACTCCAAGCACGGCCGTGGCCAGGCAGGTAGAAGGATGAGGGACCTGGAGTTGGGAACCCACAGAGGTGGCCCCCACTCGGCACTGTGGCAATGCAGGCTAAGGGAGGGTCATCCCAGAAATCCAGAATCTTCCGCTAAGTCTTCAGAATCTCCGATATGGGACACCCATTTAATTTTTGACAACTCCCCATTTCCCCATCTCCCCAGCCCCGGTGACCACCATGCCACTTTCTGACTCTAGGAATCCAACTATTCCCGGTACCTCATAGACGTGGAATCACGCGGGATTGGCTTTTCCGTGGCTGGCTTGTTGCCCTTAGCGTGAGGTCCGGGACGGTCTTCCCTATTGTGGCCCCTGGTAGGATTTCCTTTCTTTTTACGGCTAAATTATACTGCATTGTATGTATATGTTAATCCTCTCCTCTGCAGAGGGACCCTTGGGTGACTTCTGCCTTATGGCTCTTGTGAAAAATGCTGCTGTGGGCGTGGGGGTTCAAACACCTCCCTGAGACCCTGCTTTGGGCTGTAGAGACTCAGAAATGGGACTGCTGTGTCATGTGGCAATTCTGGGCTTAGCTTTCTAAGGACCCTCCATGCTGTCTCCCATGGGAACCGCAGCTTCGGACATTCCCGCCCACAGTGCACAGGGCTTCCGAGGTCGCCGCTGCCTCCGGGACACTCGTCATTGTCAGTCTGTGTGGGTTTTTTTTATAACAGCCATCTTAATGCATATAAGGTGGGATCCCCTGTGGTTTTGATTTGCATCTCCTGATGATGAGTGCTGTTGAGCCCATTTTCATGGGCTTCTTGGCCATTAACTGGTATATCTTCTTTGGCAAAATGATCCGGTTCTTTGCCCATTTTTTTTACTTGGGTTGTTGGTTTTCCCATTGCAGACGTGCAATTCTTTTTATATACTGTATATTCATCTTTTTTTTTTTAAAAGATTTTATTTATTTATTTGACAGACGGAGATCACAAGTAGGCAGAGAGGCAGGAGAGAGAGAGGGGGAAGCAGGCTCCCCGCTGAGCAGAGAGCCCAATGTGGGGCTCGATCCCAGGACCCTGGGATCATGACCTGAGCCGAAGGCAGAGGCTTTAACCCACTGAGCCACCCAGGCGCCCCCATATATTCATCTTTGACCAGCTATGTGATCTGCAAATATTTTCTCCCATTCCGCAGGTTGCCTTCCACTCTGCTGTTGTCCTTGGATGCACGTTGGTTTTGAATTTTGATGGAGTCACTTCATCTATTTTTACTTCGGTTGCCTGTGATAACTTAATTTTTAACAAAACATTCTGGGGTGGAGAGGGCTGGGCTGGAACATCTCAGGGTTTACGTTGGGGTCAAGAAGGATACCCGTGTGAGACCCAGTTTGCAACCCAGATCGGTCACTCAGTGATCTCAGCTCCTCTGGCCAGGCCCGCAGAGGACAGCTCTTCTCCCCGCTTCTTCCCTTGAGCTGCTCTGCACACCCACATTTGCTCCCTCCTCTTCCCATCTTGGGAAGCTCACGCACGAGGCGCCAGTATCTCCATTTTACAGATTAGAAAAGTGAGGTTCATCAGCATCATCCCCCCAGCATCCTATCCCAAACCAGGGCTGGGGGCAGTGACTCAGGGTCTAGGAACAGGCATGCTCTGGCAATCCCAGCTGAGAAATCAGCTCTTGCCTGCACAGGGCACAGCACACAGAAGTAGGTACCTGCAAATATTTATTGCACAAATGAAGAGGTACTTTCTTCTGAGTTGGGAAGTGAGCCCAGGCGCCCACTCTGGGCTGTATCTGCCCCAGCCCACGGAAACATGCCCGCAGACAGCCAGGGAGCATGCAGGGGACTGGTATTTATAGCCAGCTTGGAGGCGTGGCCTTGGGGCTAAAAATAAACCAAGGGGAAGCACAGGCTGGGTTCTCCCTGGACTGGAAGCCAGCCCCCTCGCTCCTCAGGGGCAGGAAGACACGATCCAGGGATGGCCTTCTTGAGGCCAGGCTGGGCCACCTGCCTCAGGAACCCTCACTTCCCTGCTCTTCCTCTCATTACCAAGGGTATAGAAAGGCCCAATGCAGAACCAGACAGCAGGGTGTGCCCTCGGGTTTCTGCAAGGCCTCTGAGGTGAGGGGCTAGCCCTCTTACAGTCAGCATTTTCAAAGCAGCAAGGAACGAAGACAGTGGCTCACAGGAGCAGTGGGGTCTTGGCCACCATGCAAGTCAGAAGAGAGGGCAATGCCACCCTCTGCACCCCAGCCCGACTGCCCGTGTGGCCTTGACCGACGGCCGGGGCCACTGCCATTCAGCTCAGCTAAACAAGCTCCCAGACTACAGAGTGTTTCCCTGGGAAGACAATTACACCGCAGCTGCCATTCCCAAACAGGGTGGGGAGGAGGGGCAGCACTCACTCCAGAAAAACCATAACCTCTCACACAAAGCATCACAGCGGGAGGGGGATAGGGGTTCCTCTAAACCCCCCCCCCACCCCGGCTTCCCCAAGGTCTCCAACCAAGAGGCATTTCCACTGCTTCCCAAATACCCAGCCCCCTCTTGGGGCTTTGCCTGCCCAGACCTATTCCCCCACCCCCTAAAAACAGTACCTTGATTTTATTTTGTGAGCTGATTACACGCCCCCTCTCATTTTCAGTCTTTGTGTCTCATGTATCTGGTAACATCTCCCCACTCCTATGACCCAGAATAGGGCCATCCCAAGCATTGCAAACCCATGGCAAAAATGACAGGTGAGGTGGTCAGAGCTGGTGAGATTCCATTCTGGAACTTCTGAATTGGGAGAGTTGCTGAGAGTCCCAGACAGTGGGAAAATGTCAGCTGTCACCTCACTACTGGCCAGGCGAAAGGCTGCCGGACAATGGAGGAACACAGAGGGAACAGAGCCTTGAAGATAGCTAGGCTTGAGGGCACTGAGCCTCTGGATCCAGCCATGCCTGAAGTCAGTGCCCTGGATCACAATAAAATTCCTTTTTTTTTTTTTTTTTTTTTGTAAACTAGAGCAGTTTTCTGGGATTCTGTCACTTCCATCCTCAAGAGTCTTGAATGATTAAAAGTCACTCACAGCTTCCCCCACCCTGTCCAAACATTCCTTAAGTCCCAGCCTGAGGAAGAGTTGCCCTTTCCTCACCCAGGTGTCCCTTCCAGCAGTTTCTCCTGCACCAAGCCCCAGAAAAAAATCCGTAGCTCTGAACCAGGCAGGGAGAGAAGACAGCAAAGCTTCTCTAGGGACACCCCTGACGCCCTCATGAGTAGGACATGAGGCGGGCGTGCAGGCAGCCATGCCACTCTCAGACCCCTACGCCCATCTGAAAACCAGGGCCTCCTGGGGAGGGAGAGGATGTTCCAGAGGGACGGTGGGAAAAGCAGCAAGAAGGCAGAAGGGGTGCCTGGCCCAGGGAAAATGGGAGGCAGAGCTCAGTAGCTCAGACCAGGTCCTACCCCTGCTTCCACCAACCCACCGGTGGCTTCCCTGAGCCCCAGGAACTCAAGCCAGGGTCTGCCCTGCCGGCTCTGGCCCTAGCCAGGTCTCCTGGGGAGCAGCCACCACACCAGTCTCCTCCAGCGCCTTAAACACCCCGAGCGCTCCTGCCCTGTGCTTGCTGGGCCTCTCCCTCTCTCAGCTCTGCCGGCCATGTTTGCTCAGCTCAGCTCCACAGAGGACAGAGGTATGGCAGGAGGGCTGAGGGGAGAGATGCCAGCATTCCGAGGGAGAAGGGTGGTGACAAACAGGCCTGTGACTGGGCGCAGTGCTCTCGGGAGGCTGGGGGTGCTCCTTCCTGCCTCGGCAGAGGGCGGCCTAGCCTCTGGATGCCCGCCTGGCCCCAGCTCCTGGGCACACGGGATGAGGTGGGAAGCGGCCTGGGGTGGTCACAGCCCCTGCCCCAGCCAGAGCTCTCCGACTCCAAAGAGGAGGCAGCAGGGCAGGGCTTTGTTGGAACTTGGGTCCTCCTCCGGAGGGCGGGGGGGGGGGGGGGGAGGCCCCCCTCAGGGCTAATCCCCTGACTCCCACCCTTCCCCTTCCCCAGGGGAGCAGTGCCTCAGCTGAATGCAAGGGATCCTGGTCATCCCTTCCTCTGTCCCTGCTACCCACTCACTGGGCAGCTATGGGACACCCCTCCAGGTTTCCCTAAAGCTCTAGCGGCCTGGCTCCCCTCCCTACCTCACCCCTCCTGGCCTCCACCTGGTAGGCTGTCCTGGAGAAGGGGGAGGGGGAAGGGCAGGAGAGCCCAAGGGGGTGGCCAGAGGCAGCGGGCTCTGGCAGGTGCACTCACCTCACGGGTGACCTTGCCATTGTTGTCAAAGTCGTAGAGGGTGAAGGTCCACTCCTGCCGGCTGTCCTCTTCCACGGACACGTCACATTGTAGCTCCTGGACACAGACAACCCACAGGTGTGGCTGGAGTACCCAGAGGCCAGGTCACTGGGCAGCCGCCTCCTCACTGCCCTCCCCAGGCCTTATGTGAAGGACGATCATAGTGAACAAGACCTGAGGGGCCAGGCAGGGAGGCCAGGCCCGGCGGGGCAGGGCAGGGCAGGTCTGGCCCACGGAGAGATGCCTGTGGGCAAGCCAGACAGCCTCTGGGTCTTTGAAGGCAAAGGAAACACAAGGAGGCTGTGAGCTGGGGGTCTGAGAGGAAGCTTCATGGCCTCAGGGAGATAGAAACTGGACCAAGGGACAAAAGTTACTGGAAGACACAGGGACCAGTAACGGGAAGCTATGGCCAGACGCCCAATATGGCCACCTGATATGGAAGGCAGGAGAGGGTGAGCAGGCATTACAGGGTAAAACTCCAGCTTAGACGCAGGAGACGCTGGTAGTGGCCCTCCACGGCTGTGTGACCCTGGTTGTGGCTTCTCTGTAAGTTTCCCCTCATGTAAATTATAGGAAAGGCCACTACTGATCTCACGAGCCTGTTGGGAGCATGGACGGCCCCACGCCACGAATTCTCAGGCCAGTTTCCGACCTCTCACCTCCAGCAGCCAGCTTCTGTGCCCGAGGAAGCCCTGAAAACCAGGGACTGAATGCCTGGGGGCAGCATGAGGCATTCTGCATGGCTCTCGGGGAGCGGAGGGGGGTCCCAGCAAGACTGAGCCCAAGCTGCCTTGGCGCTGGTCCGTCCCCTTCACCCACTGGTATTGGCTGCCCTCCTTTGTGGCTCCCCGGGATCACCTGTCAAGTCCTTGCCTTGGGCTCTGCAATGGGGGACCTGGAAAAAGCGTGGAACTGTTTGGCACCTAGAGAAGTGCAATTAACGGGAATAGCTGCCATTGCCTTCCCTGTGATGGTAACAGGACGCACGTAATGTTCAAGACGACTTCATGATCATCACTCACGGGACCCAACGTGTCTAACCACAGGCACCCGAGCTGGGAAGTGATGAGCTCGGTCCCTGGCAGTGTCTAACCACAGGCACCTGAGCTGGGAAGTGATGAGCTCGGTCCCTGGCAGTGTGTACGCAGGAGCCCTTGAACACCAGATAGAAAGTTCGAGAAATGCTGGCTGTTTGGGGAAAGAGGTTTACAAGATTCTATAAAAACCAGCCAAGATGCTGCCAGGCCATTCTGTTCCACAACTTGCCCCAGTTGCCCCCTCTTTTTGCAGGAAGGCAAGCTCAGCGCCCCAGAGGGGAGTGACACCCGGCCTCTGCACGATGGCAGGGATGAGCCCGAGTGCGGCATCCCAGCCCCCAGCCTCTGCAGCTCGAAGCCAGTTCCCTCCAGCAGTCCTCGGGCGGCCCACGCGGAGTTCAAAGTCAGCCTTCCCTCAGTTGTGACATGCCCGTCTGATACCTGCCAAGTGCCCGCTCTGCTCTGCGAGGCACCGTTTCATGTAGCACAGCACTCGCCCCGCACACTTGCCCACACACACACACACACACACACACACACAGATGCACACACACATGCACACACAGCGTTTCTCTGATTCCTTCTCCCCGGCCCTTCCGCGCAGCTCCAAAGACAGCTCACGGTTCAGTAACTATGCCCTCCCCAGCCCCAAATTCTGTCATCTGCGTCTTTAATCCCCACCCTCCACCACCCCCTAGGTGTCTCAGGTGAGTCGTCCTCAGGTGCTGTGGATGAGTCCCAGACAGTCAGCCTGGCCCTTCCAGAAATTGGCCCCCTTGGGCCTCCAGGGGAAGTGACAGCTCTGAGTCTGAGCCTTCCCTCTGCTGCAGCACTCAGCCCTCAGCTCTGCCAACCACCCCTAGAAGACACTCCGGTGGCCTCGGAGAAGCAGCTAGCAACCCCAGCTCTCCAGTGGGATGTTGCCATCCCCCTCACCTCCTGCATTCAGGGCCCATTGGGACCCTGTCACACCCCGTCCCGAGTCATCTCCCCACTACCACCTGCCATCACTATGCACTATGATGCTGCTTGTTCCCACGCAGCTCGCAACACTGGCTGACCTCAGGGCCTTTGCTCCTGCTATTCACTCAGTTGGAAGTGCTCTCCTTATCCCAGAGGCTCCCTGTCCTCACCTCTCCCAACTCCTACTCTGGCACTCAGAGGCTCAGTGCAGACTGGCATCCGCCCCAGTCTCTGCTTTCAGCCACCACAGTACACAGCATCAAGAACTACCTCCATCACCTGGCTGGCCTCCAGCTTGGCTGTGGCACCCACCTTACTGCGTGCTCCCAGACCCCCCATCACATCCTCAACTGTGCAGTCACTGGGACTGGGTCTCTCTCCCGCCTCCCCCACCACACTGTGCTCCGGGAGGGCAGGGCCATGCGAACCCCAGCCTGCTAGAGCTCTGCCCCAGTGGTCTCAGGGAGGGAAGCAGAGAACGAAGAAGGGAGGAGAAGGGAGGGCAGAGAAAAGCCAGTAAGCTCCGTGCCGAGAGGCCCAGGTTCCGCTCTCCTGCACCCGGCCCTGCCTGATGCACAGAAGGAGCTTAACGTACTGTTTGGGATGGGGCAGGATGGACAGACTGCAACCTCGAGGAGAACATGTTCTTTTAGTTGTTGACCACACAGGGAATCTGAGTCCCAGATAGGGCCGGGGACCTGCCTAAGGCCTCCTGCCTTGGCATCCAGTTCACCCAAGAGCCCTGCCATGTTCCCCAGAACAGCCCCAGGAGTCAAAATCAAAGGCTTCTTCCAGTAACGAGGAAACCGAGGCCCAGAGGGGAAGGCAATCACCTCAGACGGTAATGGCAGCGCCAGGGCCAGCCAATCCCCAGGTCCCCACTCAGGTCCTCCCCAGACTGCCAGGCCACAGCCCAGTGGGATAGCGGTACTGAGTCCCCAGGGCCCGTGTGGAGCTGGAGCAGCCCCAGACAGGGAGGGACAAACCTCCCACAGAGGGAAGTGGGTCACACAGGAGGTGAAAGGCCTTTGCATCTGCACGGGCCTCAGCTTCCCTCCTTGAAAAGCCCTGCCGAGGGGACAGAAGCACTTCTCTCCTGAGCCCAATGCCAGGAAAGGGTACTTACTTCAAATTTCAGCTGCTTCTTGGAGCCCGGGCAAGATTCGCTCACCTTCTCCCTCCTCTTCTCGTCTCCACTGGCCAGCCCATCTGTCTTCTCAGGAGGCAGGGCCACTGCGGAGAGGGCAAGTGAGACAGTGTGAGGACGGTCCCCAGCTGGGCCTTGGGGCCTCCGCCCCCACTGGGGCTTTGTTCTGGGGACTGGACCCCTTCCTGGCCTGCCCGTGCGCTAAGGTCAAAGTCACTTTGCTCTCTGGCCTCGGGGAATGTCTGGGGCTGCGGAGCCCGCCCAGGTGCACCCATGCCAGCCACTCAGATGACCCCAGGGCGCCTCCAGGCCACCATTTCCTGCCCCAGCTACACAGCCCAGACAAGTAGCCTGCGGTCGGCCAGGGCACTCAGACCAGAGGCAGGTGGACGGGAAGCTCGCAGACCGCGGACACGTTCTACACAGTCTCAATGCCTTCCCTGCTGACATGTTGGCCTCCTCAAAGGGGCCATGTGCCAGGGCCCCAGCAAACGGCATGCTGGGAGTTGGTCAGGAGGCCTGAGGGGAAGCTGGGGCCTCCCTCAGGCAGCCTGAGAAGCACCCATGGTCTCTGCTTGGGTCCTCCTAACACCCTGTGACCCAGGGCAAGTCGTGTAACTTCTCCAGACCTCTTGACCAGTTTGCACAGCTGTACAACCCGGACCAGAGCAGTCCTCTCCCCAGAGGATCTTTGTGTGGATTCAGTGAGCTAGGGCCAAGAGCCCAGGGTCAGCACACAGAGTCCCAGCGGCTGCGAGTGGGCGCAGTCAGGGCAATGGGGTCCCCTCCCCACTCAGTCTCTCCGGAATCAGCACAGTTGGTAGCCAAGTTTTCTCAAAACGGAGGCTTTGGAAATGCAAAAGGACACAAACGCATCATATCAAACACAGGCAGCCTGGGCTGGGGAACAGGAGAGGGAGGGAAACGCTGAAGATATGGATGCTTGGTCAGTCACCAGGCCAGATGGGCAGGGACAGGAAGGCCATGGCGGTAACAGACTGACCTGACTCCAGCCTCAGCTCCCCTCCCAGCGGGACCTGAGTGCCCCCTTCTTTCTCTTCCTCCAGGTACACCCAGAGGGATGCAGGGTGCACCCCTGACCTATGATCCCCCCACAGCAAGGCGACAACTCCCTCGAGCCGTCAGATATCCAGCTGGAGACCCTGTCTCAGCCACGGACCCCAGCTCTGTCCTGGAGCTTTCACAGAATGAGGCTAATAAGGACAAACCTAAAAGGAAATTCAACTCCTCGGAGGCCCCCAGAGTGGGGAAAGGTGACTGATGCTGACCACTTCTGATCGAGGGGATAAAACCAGGTCCTGTCCTCCCTGCTCCTCCAAAGCAAACACTGCCAGAGCCAGGAGGCACGCCAGTCCAGTGCAACACTGAGTCCTGGGCAGTCAGGTAGGCAATGAGCCAGTGACCCAAGGATAGCCGAGCATGCAGCCTGGGCCACCCTGATTCCCCCACCCCAAATCTGCCAGAGTCCCACTGAGCCAGAGCAGCCGCCATCGTGGAACCTGACGGGGTACCAGGCCCCAAAGCAGTAGGCACTACTGCCACTCCCATTTAGAAGACAAAAAGGTCTAGAAGCTCATCAGAGCAAGTCAGGGAGCAGGGTCTCTCCCCATGCCCGGTCCTTAGCTTTAGGGGCCCCAAACATCTCCGGTGGGTGCAGCTGAGCTTGGCGTGAGCAATCTGGTTGAGAGGACTGATACTCTGGACCCATATCATGACCCTGCTCCTGCTGATGGGCTGGGCAATGTTGGGCAAGGCACTGGGCTTCTCTGGATCTCAGTCTCCTCGTGGGGAAAGTGGGAATGAGATGGTTTCTTCCTCACAGGGTTATGGGGGTGGGGTAAAGGCAATGAGGAGAGTGCCTCCTTAGCACAGTAGCCTGCATGCAACAGGGGCTCAGTAAAAGCCGGGTTTACCAAAGATGGAGAGGAGCCATGGTCCCAGCTGATAGCCCAGACCCAGATGGTCGCCCTCATGCCAACAACGCTCCATTGGAGAAACCGTGGTGCTCTCCTGGCCGGCACAGCCCCCCTGCAGGGGTGGTGGGAGGAAGAAGAAAGGAAAACAAAGCCCAGTTCCATCTTCAAAGCTGCAGCCTCCCTCCACAGAGGTCCTGGCTGGAGATGTAAGCCAGCCAGGCTTATCGAAACCAAACTTCAAGTTCAAAGAGAAGTTATCAGAAAACCACCTTCAGGTTCAACACTGCCTTTCAAGTTCCACTTGATAAAACCCAAAGAAAAGAAAGCTCTGTCCCTGCTCCCTCCTTCTCTGGAGCACCCCTCCCTATGCGCAGGCCTTCCCCGCCTCCCCTCCTTCCTCCTCACCCAACGGGGTAGAAAATGCACCCCCTCCCCACCGACCAATCACCATCTTTCTGTGTCTTCTCTGAAGACCACCATAGTCTGGATTGCCTTCTCTTCACCAAGGGGGTCCCTCATCCCATCCCAGCTCAGAATGCCCACCCCCCAGACACCCATGGGGTCAGCCACAGATGGGTGGTAGGACCGGGAGCCATCCTTCCCCAGAGCCCCGGGGGCCAGGAACAAGGACAGTCCGTGCCCTCCACCCCCACCGAAGAAGGCCCTTCACCCTGTTGCTGTTCCCCGCCCAACGGCCAGAGGAGGTATCAGGGATGTTGGGAAAGCCTAGCAGAGCCCAGGGCCACAGGCAGGGGCTGGGACTCAGCCCTGTTTCCAAACCCACACGTGAAGCCTCTCAAACAAACATCAACCAGCACCCAGTCCTGCCATCCCTGCACAGCACAAACCACCCCCCATCCATCCACCCTTGGGCTCACGGGCAGGCACAGGAAGGGTAAACAGTACCCACTTCGGGCTGCCAAGGTCCCACCAGCCAGCAAAGAGAACGGCATTTTTGTCGAGATGGGCTTTGGCACCACATTCTGAGCCCATTCGCACCCTCCTACTCCGGCTCAGCCCAGAGATGATCCTCTGGGGGGGGGGGGGCAAAATTTCAGAGGGACTCAGCATTCTTTAATCATTCACAGTAACAACAGGAGATGCTGCTAATTTGAAAGAGAAAGGAAAGCTGGAGGACAGCAGAAAAAGGAAGGGAAGGAATGGAGTGCGGAGGCAAGAAAAGCCTTCAAGTTCAGACTCATATTCTGATTTTATATCCTATGTTCACACCACTGCCTGGAACGTACCCTTAGATGACTTAGAACAGAGGCTGGCAAGCTATGCCCTGTGAGCCAAACCCAGCCCACCGCACGGCCTGTTTCTGTAAATAAAGTTTAATTGGGACACAGTCACATTCATATGCACTGTGTATAGCTGCTTCACTCTACGATAGCAAAGTTTGGTAATCACAGCAGAGACTATATGGCCCACAAAGCCTAAAAGTTGTACTCTCCTGGCCCTTTATAGAAAAGTTTATGAACTGCGCTTAGGTACCCTTCCCACCAGGGTACCCTGATAAGCAGGGTGCAGGCTGGATTTCACCAGCTGCTCACCCGCATAACTGGAAACTCTTGTGCAGTACACAACCTGCCCAACCATACACAGTAGGCATGGAAGAAAGGAAACGTCAACTCTGATTTCTTCAAACCAGTTTTCTCAGCTCAGATGAGTCTGGGGGCGGTGTGTGGAGCTCCTTCTCTTTGGAAACTGCTCCCTGTCCCTTCTCACACCACGGCTGCGAGGAGCCTGCTGGCTGTGTTTACCAGATGATGGCTCTCTCCCACATTAGCTCCCAACCTGGCATCTCTCCACCCCCAGCAACTGCCAGATTAAATGCATTACTTGACCATCTTCACCCGGCTCCCTTTGATGTTCCCTTCTCAAGCTTCAAAATACCTTTTGGAGGGAGATCAGACAGCATTAAACAGAATTACTAATTAATTAAGCAAAGTTAAATTTTAAACACTGTTTGTTGTGTTAGCCAAAAGCCTGAACAGAACAGACTTTTTTCCTCCACTGAGATCAAAGACAGTCTCTTCCCTGTCCCTCCCCCAGTTTAAAAAGAAGAGGGGGCTGGGGAGGAAGAGAGGGAAAGAAGAGAGTACAGAGGAGCCCCGACGAGCCAGGAAAGACCTGAGTGAGGATGGTCGGGTTGGTCGTTGGGGGTGATCACGAGGTCTGGACTCCCAGCCCTCACCCTGCACCCACAGTCCCAATGGGAGGCATCAATAGCTCATTTGGGACCACATGCTGGGAGAGCCCCAGTCACTTCCTCCAGCCTGTTTAGCCTGGCAAATAGCAGTGACCCAGGGAACAGGATGGCACAGCCCACCCAGCCGGAGCTGCCAACAGCTGAGAAGATGGCTATAAAGTAAAACAGATCTGCCTTCCCGCAGCCCCACCCACCCTGGCACCCAGGCAGGACCAGCCCCTCAGGGCTCTTCCCAGGGCGGTGAGGGGGTGGGTTTAGGGTCATCTGAGAGGCAGGGTGTGCCATGTACAACCCTAGGGGGGCACCATTCACAGGCTGGACCTCATACGCTTGTATATTGCCAGAGACATTTTTGGGGACAGATGGCAGAAAGGTGTCTTGAGGTAGGGGTTGGGGGATGGGAGGGAGCTCCTTTCTCTACTTTGCATGAATCCATTTGTTGCAAGCCGAGTGCGGTCTCTTCCCATCGGGCCCAGCATTTCATTCTGCACAATCTCATCTGGGATCTTCTGTTCTTTCCCAGGAGCCTGCCACATCCTTGGCGGCTAGACTGCAAGTCTCCTGGGATCTGGGGTCCCACCGGCTAGCGCCCCTGGGATGCCCACAGCACAAGCACAGGGCAGCCAATCCACGCCAGCTGCATAACAAACACACCATAAATTCTGCCTTGATTGACATTGGGACCCGGTGTGAGAAAGGGGGTGGCTGGAAGCGGCAGGTCTGTTCCTGAATCCCATACTTAGGCTAAAATTCAAACTGTGGATGAGAGGAGCAAACACTGGCATATGTTAACATGATCCAGAAAGGCCTGGTTGATCACAAACTAAGGAAGTAGCGACAAATCTGAAATCCCGTTATGACTATTATCAGTCCTCCCTCCCACCCCTTGAGACCAGAAATGACTAACACACAGATGGGCAGTTCTCTCTGCCCGGTT